ATTAAAAGAAAAATAATTAGACACTGGCATCCCAAACATTCTTTTGATGTATATCACTGGCATTCAAGATCTGAAAGAAAGGAGGGCTACAGTAGTAACACAGGTATCCCAAACACAAACTTATAATTAGACACTGTTACATGATTAAGAACCTACCAGTTGCCATGGTAATGCTGTTTGTACATTAATACTGTTTTCGTTTTGTACTGGACCCAACTTTGATAGCATCAGAGGAAAGATTTTTTCTGTCTGCGAATGAAACTGTTTCTTTACTCCCTTCATCATTTCAAAGCACAGGAAACCCATGCCTTCARCCATGTCTTCATGCGTAGCTAAGAATCCATACAAGAAATCCAGTAGTTTACYGTGGTCTTTAACCTTTCTCATTAGAAATGCAAAACTTTCAGCAGCAAACTGTTGAATATAGGGCTTCTGGTGCGTGCTCAGTAGAGAAGAGTACAGCCTGCAAGAGAGGAATAGGTGAAAGAATTATAGCAGTTTCCTATATAATGAAAACTCAGCAGCTTCAAGCTGCATGATGAAATGTGTGTGTGTGTGTGTGTTGTTGTKTTTTTTTTGTTGTTGTTGTTTTGGTCAATCAGAAATAACCAGATGGCACCTCATATTGAGTTAGCCATGCCCTGACTTAGATCAGCCCAGAGATTGTTTCATGGTTGGATCTGTGAGTTAGCCATGCCCTGACTTAGATCAGCCCAGAGGTTGTTTCAGGGTTCAATCTGTAAGTTAGCCATGCCCTGACTTAGATCAGCCCAGAGGTTGTTTCTGGGTTAAATTTGTGAGTTAGCCATGTCCTGACTTAGATCAGCCCAGAGGTTGTTTCTGGGTTAAATTTGTGAGTTAGCCATGTCCTGACTTAGATCAGCCCAGAGGTTGTTTCTGGGCTAAATTTGTGAGTTAGCCATGTCCTGACTTAGAACAAACCAGAGGTTGTTACAGGTTATTGATAGAATTGAAGGTAACCCAAAAGATTCTATTCACTATCCCCAGTGTTAAAACAAATTCCATTTTCTGTCAGGACGGTTTGTTAACCATTTCCCCCACGGTATTCCTAGATGTGTAATAATACCTACTTAAACACATTCTCTATGTCCTTMACCATATATCTCCATAGGAACTTGAACAAGTATCCAAGAGCTGTGAATATCAGCTCAAGGATTTCACTATCCAATGYATATCTATTCAGCAAGGTAACAAAAACATTAAAGAAATCCTTGAAGTGTGGATAGAAGTCCGACTGCAAGTCTCGTGAAATCTGTACTACAACATCTAATAGCGGTTCCATCGCCAAGGAATTGCCCTCCTGAAGAAGATACTTTTGTAGTATCGCAATAACAGTTTGTTCATGGTGAACCAATTGAGCCAGTGTTTGAACTAATGGACTTATCTCCTTGCAAAACTCCTGGAATTGTACTGTACAGTTTAATTCTCGCCATTTGTTCAGCGCCTCGTTACAAAAAGTCTCTGTTTCTTCTGGTTCTGAAGCACGTTTTTCCACGCGATGTGAAATATCAAGCCTGATATTCGCAATACGCTCGGAAAATYCTTGAAATTTGAATGGATTTTTATCTTTCTCCTTTGCCATTTTGATATGTTACGTTGGTATAGAAGAAAAAAGCACCAAATCAGTCCAAAAACGAATGTTCTTGGATAGTTATCGGCGCCATGTGGTTTTCCAAAACACGTCCGCCATCTTGAAATCACGAGTGGGAGAGAGACTGGCACTAATGGCGCTTAGCGCTGTGCAAAAATCTTCGCAACAGTTTTTCAAAACGAATCCCACATTGATCAGGASTGAGTGTGCCTTTTAATGCATCAGCGTCAATTACGAAGTATTGAGTATGCTGGTCATAGCAAGGGGTTAATCATCTACGGTCTAGGGGCCTACTAACCTCCCCCTTAGGCTTCGGCCGAGCTTCCTGATCAGTCTGTAAATCTCCGGATAGCGGTGTCAGGGTCGAAATCTCTGGCTTAGCCGTAAATGCTTCGCGCTTCCACACGACGTTTCAGCACTCGATGTCTGGAAGTATGGTCCTAAATATTAAATGAAAATAATATAGAACTACCAAATAAGTAATGGTTTTACGACAACAAACTGAAGTATCAACACGCAACTGACTTGTACGTCGTCATCCACGCCTGGCCCTCCCCCAAGGGATTGGTTACTTCAATTGGGCTTTTGGCGGAAAAACCTGTCAAAAGACCATGCACTAATAATAGATTATCGTGTATCAGTAAGAATGTACCTGRAATGGATTGGGTCAATGTATTAACGTATACGGGTCTGGAATAAGAATCTTCCTAATAAGCCTTTTCATAGTTTAAGAATCGATTCCACTGCGCATGCGATTTTATCCCGAATTTCTCACCTTCTTTTGTTTAATTAAGAAGAAAAGAGGGTTTAGACAAAAGAAAGTAGAAATTCGGGATAAAATCGCATGCGCAGTGGAATCGATTCTTAAACTATGAAAAGGCTTATAGGACGTACACGCATAGGAGTATATTTTTCAGGAACCATGATGGAATCAACTTTTTCACAACCCGCATTGAAAGCAACTCTTATACTCCTAATTTACATCTAACCCATCAGTTTGTCCATTAAGTTTATTTTATCCAATATATTTATTTTTTAATATAAAATATATAGGTCCTTCAATGGATGTGAAAAAGTCACTCCCTCATCGTCTCATGCTTAGTTCACATCCAGTGAAAGGACCTTTGAASTTCCTAATCACAAATTTTAAACCATGCTCATCAATTAAGTTTCTTTTGATCTGTTGTATTTATTTATCAGTCTTTGTTTGGCGTTGAGCAAAGACATATAAGCTATTGAAAGAAAAAGGTAATTTCAATCGGATATGAGTATCCCTCGTCCGTCATCGTCTTAGGTTTAGTTCACATCCAGTGAAAGGACTTTTGAACCTCCTAATCACTTCTTAAACCATATTCGTCTATTATGATTCATATTATCTATTTATTTTTTGTTTTGCGTTGACCAAAATATGTACGTTGTCGAATTTGTAAAAGGTCCTTTCAATGGATGTGAAATAGTCGCTCCTTCATGGTCTCATGCTTAGTTCACATCCAGTGAAAGGACCTTTGAAGTTCCTAATCAACTTTTAAACCATATACGTCTATTATGTTTCATATTATCTATTTTATTTGATTATTCTCTTAAATTTTTATTTTTATTTTTGTTGTTGACCAAAACACATAACTTTTCGATTATAAAAAAGGTCCTTTCAATGGATGTGAAAAAGTCGCTTCCTCATATGGTCTCATGCTTAGTTCACATCCAGTGAAAGGACCTTTGCACAGGAAAAAAAACCGGATTCCCAAATTGGGAATTTGTTGGGAATTTCCTTGAATTCCCAACGAATTCCCATCCAATTCCCAGAGAGAACGAAATTGGGAACGTGGCACTGATTCCCAATGTTAGTTTGTTGGGAATTTTGTTTTTCTATTGGGTATTAGAAGGAAATACCCAACAATAAATCCCAACGTTGGTTCGAATTGGGAATTCAAGGAAATTCCCAACAATTCCCAATTTGGGAATMCGGTTTTTTTCCTGTGTTGAACTTCCCAATCAACTCTTAARSYATATTCGTTTATCAACTTTCTTTGTATCATTCAGATTATTTTTTTGCGTCGACCAAGATTAATGAAATAGCTTTTGGATTACGAAAAAGAAAGGTTTGAAACTTTTTAAATAAATTCCTTTCCTTTTTTATCGTTAGATCAAAAGAACCTTAACCCTAAACAAATTTAAAAATATGCCTTTATTTGTGAAAGAGTAAAAAAGCCAGTCCCAGGCGTATATYTTAAAGTGACAATCTCCTGAGAAGGCTCCTTTCTAAGATGCATCAGAATTGAAGAAATATGGTTGGGCTTCCTGTGGTATTTCGGCCCTCGTCGCACCACAGGCACTCCATACTTAAATTCAATAGTCTATAACAAAAACAYATGATTTAGATTTTTTGGGATCAGACATAAAAATCACTACTTACTTATTCTGTTTTCACTTAAATAGCATTGATACGGTGATACCGTATACAATATCCATCCCCTTGGRAAAAAATTAATCTTTSTTTAACCTTATGTTGCAKGGTATCTATGGTAACTGTACGACTGCTCTCTTTCTGTTTTAGCATGTGATCTTGCATGGASCAAGTGGGGAAATTGATTTGTGAACGCTAGTTTTGATTTTTTGTTTAAATAAGATAAAAAGAAATGGCAAAATAAGTGGAATAAATTTACAGATTCTCACTATGCACCTCTAACAGGTTCCTTCTCATAAAAGCCATATCTTTTTATTGATTTCTAAAAATAACTACATCAAAGCAATTCTTTGAGTAATGTCAGACTTTTAACTTTGATCTTAACTTAAAATACCAAAGAAAAAAATTTGTTCGATCCGACAATCCATCTAGGAAAAGTCCAGTCCAAGGAGTTAATCCAGATCTAGATTTTCCACGATTTTGGATTTTAAGGCTTAAAATGCCAAATTATAAAAGAGCAAGTCAAATAGGTATCAATGGTGTAATTTGTTTTGGTTTTGTCGTACAAAAGTAATGGTTTTACGAGCATCAAAAGTATCAACCCGCAAGCCACTTGTACGCMWTTACTCACACCTTGCTGTGCGGTTCCTACACGTGGATATCCTAATAAGATTTTTTTGGTCTTAAGATGATATCTTTACCATTTATTATTTATTTATTGATAATTTCTAATTAACTAAAAAACTAAAATCACGGAAACTTTCACAGAAAGTTTTCTCAAAAAGTATTATGTGTAACTAAGTTTATATAATCATTTTRTAATGAAATATTACGACCCTGCACTAAAACAGAAAGGAGTTTAAAAGGTATATCAATCATAAAAGTCTAAAACTTCGAATAGAAATTTCCCAGTTACATTTGATTTTGGCGATAAAATTGACTATARAGCATWTGCACGTTACGTCATARCCGCCATTTTGGTTGACGATGACAAAGCAYTCCTCATTAGCTTCTCTTGTTAGATCAACTAATATGGCKGCTGTTTCATTGTTATTTATATCTCAAGGGATTTTGAATCAGATGGCTGCACACACTGTATAGTTTTAGAAAGTATGAATCGAATTAAGTACGACGATGAATAGAGCTCGGTCGTGCAGAGAGTTTCTGACCTTGACTGTTTTTTATTATAATTGAAACATTTTTGATTATAAATCGGTCGTATCAAGTCAAATTAATAAGGGACTATAGAGTCAGTGACGCAATATTGACATGAAAACAGGCGGATCAATGAATGGTTTTATTCAGATTACAATTTTTTTTTAATTTTTAATTTTTTTTTCTGAACAAAATCACCCGCATTTTAAAAGTTATATTTAGAGCACATAATAGAATGTAAATGGATATAACTGATAAATCACGTAAACCACTATTTAAGTGGTTAGAGTTAATCAAAAGATTTTCATCTCCAGATTGCGCCTTGGAAATGATACACGATTCTTCTCACTGTACACGAGACTAGTTAATGGGATTATCATAAGGATTGGTCTACCAACTGAACAACCATGCTTTTAATTCAAATATAATTGTGTTTCTGACCTGAAGCCTTCCTGGCTGCAGGGCTAGTGAGAGCAGAGAGCAGAGAGCAGAGAGTAGTTGATGTAGAATAGAGAGGTAATCGTACGTTCTGGACCAATGCGTTGCAATAAATAATGGCCAAAAAAGCTCCTGGCTGTCAGTCTGATGGCCAAAAATGTACCTCATATTAGGACGACACAGTTTGACCAGATGTTTTGATAAAGCTAGGAACATACATAAATGTTGAGTCAAATTTTACCATGGTTTAGTAGCAAATGAGGCCCGATMGACTATTAATACGGATCTCATATATGCCTGAATACTTCTACATCTGAGGTAAGGAAACTGAGCTAAGACCCATTCCATTCTATTATTAYCCATTCATCGTGYATTCACTTTGAARAACACACACACACATACACAGAACTCAAGACCTACCTATCTATATTTGGATTTTACATTTAAAGCAAGGGTTTTTAGTGCGCAAGGTTAAGGTGCGCAAGCCGAATTGTACATGTCGTAACTTCAACTCGTTTTTAGAATTCAAAGATTTCAGGTCAATCCCGGAATTTTTCAACATAAAGCAGTTTTTTTCATCGAAGGGCTTGTTTCTTTAAGGTAGTCGTGCTGATGAACTGTAACCGATTTTAGAGCAGCCATTCGGTAATGAGAAATTCCGTCCAAAATCCAACGATTTGTATACATGTTCGCGAGGGTTTACGCCCGCTTCTTCAGTACATCGACCAACTTTGTTTATTTACTATACAATATATATATATATCAATGCTAATTATACTTCCCTTCAAGTGAAAATCAGTTATGCAACATTCATGGATGTACTAAGAGCTTTTAGTTTTTGAAAAAGTTTGGAGTCGCAAATTTCATTTCTTGATTCTCAATTCTGTCAGTTTGTGCGCGAGCCATAATGTAAACACAAGCGCGCGCACCTACTTCTCGCATTTAAAGTGCGTTAACGGTAATACAAGTACGGCAAATATTTRGCATCAATGCACGGGGTCAACTAGTTGAATTGGTTTATGATTTGACTAAAAAGAGAAAACCTTTTATCAATCTCCCACGACGAATTCCAGTAATAACTGCTCACCTAATCTGGTCTCAAAATTGACCACATCTCTGATATTGGTTAACCAATGTTCCTTCAATTCGTTTARCCACATAAGTCTACTATATTCATAAACAAGTTGACAAGTTGCAAAATAGCGATAAATAAAACGAAAACACACGCTTTTCAATGTATTTTATACAAACCCAATAATGTCTGTCTCCGGTATTTATGGATGGTTGATTGCAAACCAGACAGCTCCCAGTCCTGCGTGGTTCCGGCTTATCAAAGTTTTTTTGGGGATTCCATTCATTGAACTTAAAACAACGATCTGAGTAAGTAGTTCAGTTCTTCGGACGGAAACCATGAGAAGCAAAAGCCGGTACAGGATATGAAGGTC